GAAGCACCTTGAGATGACGTTGATGAAATTATTAAAATGTAAATGTCCTTACATGTATTTAATATAATATAATATTTTCAAAGCAGTCATGGTGCATCATGGGTACTTTTGATACTTTAAGTAAGTTTAGCTGGCTATACTTCTACCATTTTGAATTCAGGGTATTTCCACTATTTCTGAAGTGAAGGATCTTCTTCCACCTCTGGAAGTCATTATTGAAGCAGCTCAGCAGGATCAGCCCACTCACTGAGGCTCCAGATGTTCTGTGCATTGATTAATGTCCCAGCACATTCCTGCTGTCTGCCTAATGCCAGATTCCGTTGAAAAATCTGGTAATTAATCATGATACTGCCAATAATTAAACATTTGAATCTGCAAAACTAATTCAAAGTCATGCAAGGAGTTATCACAGCCCTGGCATCGATTCGGCTTGCATACAAAATTCAAAAGACATTTTTTAAAGTTATGTTTCTCTAAGTTTTGCAGCTCGTTATTTTAACGCATGTCAAAACTTGTCTTACTAATAACCAGTGATGGAAAAGGGACTCTTAAATGTTCACTTAAGTAAAAGTAGTAATACTAAACTGTTCAAATACTCTTAACCCATACATTTATGTCAACGTTTATTTTAAAAGTCTTTTATTTTTAGTATTAGCTACTTAAAAGTCACTAGTAACTAAAGCTGTCAAATAAATGTAGTGGAGTAAAAAGTACAATAATTTGCTTTCAAAGAAGTAGAAGTATAAAAGGAGCATAAACTGGAAATACTCAAAGTACAAGTACCTCACAATTGTACTTAAATACAGTACTTGAGAACATGTACTGTGCTACTTTACACTATTGATAATAAGGCACTGTTTGGTGGATATATTTTGCGCCGAATGACACATACTGTACTGTTTTTGTAGAAAATTGCAAGTTGTGTCACATGATGCAGTTTCCATTACATTATGATACATTATGACATTTCAGGTTTTGAGAATGGAGTTTGGTGTGACGTGAGGTTGATCAGAAATCACGAGTGCCTTACAAATCTTTAAAATCCCCTCTAAGTATTTCCTGTTGTTACGAAAACAGTTGAAACAGCTTAATATCCAAAGTGCTGCTTACCTTTTGGATGTGATTTCCCTCCGCGTGCAGCCGTGTCTTCTGCCTGTATTCCTCCCAGCAAAAAAAGATTTGAAAAGTTACAAAATAAAAACTCGTCCTCTGTGTCAGCGGGTCCTTCAAAGAAAAGTTCCCAAATCTACATCCTGATGTGAGGAAACCGGAGCAATGAAAAATAAACGTGTGTTTTTACGCTCCAACAATATTCCCACGACAAACAAGTCCTGCTTCCTTCCCACGCCCAGGAACCCGGCTAACTACATGGCTCAGGTGTATAATTCATGACTAAACCAACACACACTGTCACACACGCGCAAACACACTCAGTTTTTTTTAATGGCTGCAGGAGTGTGTGTTTTCTGGATCCAGTGCGACACACACATCCAACCGGATCTGCAGCGCGATACGCAACTAAAGTGTAGAGAATCAGGATGAGGCTTTTTCCTCCTCCTCCTCCTCCCAATACTGAACCCCCAATGAATGTGGGTTTGTAAAATGAAGTCAAGCTAGAAGTGTTTACACCAAGAGCGTGGTTCGTGTCCTTTCAAGATAAAAGCCGAAATGGCTGCATATTAGCAATGGCAGACTGTCCTAACAAGATATATGACAAAAGTCACAATATGTTTTAAAAGACAGGACAGTTAATTGTAGGATGTGTAGCAGTGTGTGTGTGCACTTGTATGTGTGCTAGTGTGCATTACTACATGCAAAGCTACGTTTAAAAGTCATGTGAATGCACGTTTTAGGTGACATGTTTGCCTTCACCCTTAAATGTTATGACTCGATTTTATGAATGGTGCAGAGACAAGAGTAAAGGATGCCAAACTACTATTTGGTAAGCCCCGCCCCCCCCCCCCCCCCCCAAGCAACATCAGGGCCAAAAGTCTGAAAGCGAAAAACGATCTGAAGGTGAAAAGCAATGTGAAACCTGAAAAAACAAGATTTGAAACTGAAAAAATAATTGTTTTGAATCTGAAAACGAAAAATCTGCAACTAAAATATTCAAATATCAAAATATGTATAAAAGTGAAATCTGAAAATAAATATTTTATTCAAAAAAATTGCTGAACTGAATCAAAATAATATTCAACCTGATGATTTCAAATACTTATTATTATTTTGAATACATCATTGTATTTTTCAAAGTTCAAATTGTATTTTTTTGAATGATCAGAACTTATGACCCTGAAATAGCTCCATACTACAGCTACTACAAACACATCTATACAATTGTCCAAAATAAGTCCGATTTGAATGAAAATGATGCTAAGATGTGTATTAAATCACACTTCCTCGCTGTAAATGATTTGTAAAGTCTCTCAACATGTCTTTATGAAGATATTGCTATATCATAGTATACTTTTTTCTTCAAATTTAAATGATTTTAGCATTAAATATGTGATAAAAAACGTATCTAGAATTTAAAAAATGTACACCTATTGCATCCTTTCCGGTTAGCAAAACATATCACAGTCAAAGAATGAAATGTAATTTGGTGAACATAGTTTATTTGACGATAGAATATGACATTCCCATTGGGTTGCAGTACATTTGAGACAAAAGGGATTTTATTTTGAAAGTCACATCCGGAAGTCCTCCTCTGCATTCTATATTTCCTTCTTTAACAAAAGCAGATTAAATTGAGTCCCCTGGGTTTAAAGTGAAGGCCATTAGAGAAAGTCAAAAACCCCTTCAAAGTAAAAAAGGAAATACAAATAACTTGGTTCTAACATTCAAACAAGGACGTTCAAAACTGCTTCTAAAAAATATAAAAAAACACAATTGCCCTTTTTTTGACAGATGTCCCATAATCCATGCTTTAGATTAATCCCAGTGTTAAATAGATTATGCACACTTTAATTTCCATCTATTTTAATCTATTTAGACCGCCTAGAGAGATATCAAATGGATTCATTTTTGAGATCCATGTTTATATATATTTAATCTCTTTTTATTCTTGTGGACATTTAAAAAGTGCAGCATTTGGGGTAAAACTTCAGAGAGTGCAGTTGAGCATGCAGTCGCCCCTGCTGCTAATTCGAGGGTCCGGACGGGGCACAATGGAGGCTTTGTTGCTGGAGAATTTGTCTGAGAAGTAATCCTTGACACTGGGCCATTCAGGGGCAGAACCTTTTGTTTCATAAGTCCCTGAATGTTACAGCAGGCCTCGGTGCATTACAACAACTTAAAGTGTGCAGCATTGAGTAAACGCTGGATGTGAGGGCTGTGTTTTAAGGGCTGTGTTTTAAGGGCATAGTTGAGAGGTTAAAGGGGAATAAATGAGTCCTTACTGTGTGTGTTGTTGTTGCTTTTGAGTATGAATCTTTCATACATAGGGACCGAGGGGCTTCAGGCAATGAATGGTGTTAAAATTGGTATTTTAAAAGGTAAAAATGGCACAGAATTCACTATTTTCTTTGATTTAATGGACCTAATGGCCAATCAGGGACATGCACAATTGCAATAAGATGGTGGAAGTGTGTTGTCAGGAGTGGGATTTGAACCCACGCCTCCAATCGGAGACCAGAAGTCCCTTTGCTCAGGAAGGAGTCGAACCTTGAGTGTTTTTCAAAGTGGGGGCCCCGACCCCCCGGGGGGGCGCCAGGGGGGTCGGGGCCCCCCCGGGGGGTCACGCAAAGTTTGAGGGAAAGGGGAATTTTTTTCTTTTTTTAAAGTTACCTTTTTTTCCCTTTTCTTTTTAGATGTTATTAATAACTGCATATCTATCAATCTATGTGTCCTTTGATGCCAATCTTTCAATATTTTTTATTTATTAATATTTTATTTTTTTGTTTTTGAATCATGTGACCGCCCTTCAAGCCAATCAGAATCGAGCTGCCGCTACTGAGAGTGAAACTGAGCATCTGCTCAGCTTTTGGAGCAAGTGAGAGCTAGTGAATATTTCGCTCTGCAGCCGGATGAGAGCACGGATGCAGCAAATATTGTTGTTTATATATATGAATATAAATATGTTTATTGTTAATATTACTGTTGAATATTATATATAAATAGCTTTCAAAAATGCTAAAAACATATGTTAATTGTTCATATTACTGTTCAAAATTATATAATATTATAAAGACAGAAATCACTTTAAAAATGCTTTAAAATTATGTTTACTGTTGATATTACTGTTTAATATTGTGTTAAGAATGTTTATAACAGAAGACACAATCAATGTAATGAATGACAAACAAAAGATAAATACAAAACATGTTTTGAAGAATAACTGATTATTAATTATTAGGACACATATATATTAAGAAAATGTATTAAGCTGTATGATTAATTTATCATAATGTACTCATCATTTAAAACAATTGCAACAGGGGGGTCCCCGCCAGAGGATAACGCCATATGGGGGTCCTTGGCATGGCAAAGTTTGGGAACCCCTAACCTAGACCACTCGGCCATCCTGACTACGGTTGGTTCCATGGGTTATCTGATAAAACCAAAAATGTTAGGAGAGCTTTAAGACACTTGCCAAGTAAAACATATATATGATTCAATCTTTTGTAAAACCAACGTTTGATCCTCCAGATTATATGTTTTCGATCTTGAAAAGCTGTAACGTTTTCTGAATATATTGAAACAATGAATTGGGTTTTACCGCCATAGCAGACATTAACGTCCATCCATTTGAACCAATGACCTGCTCCAGTTCAAAATGAGACCAAACATCGCTTTGGATTACAGTTTCTGAGGCTTGTTTTTAGCCTAGACTATTCACAAAATGTATTTTTCCTACCAACAAAACAAGGAAAGTAAGAATCTAGCAGTTACATAAGGGTATAAAACATTCAATAAAATAGTTTTTTTTGTCAACGTTTTCATCACCACAACCATTGGAGGATATTGTTGAGGTAAACAGTCATAAATGAGAAGGACAAATATACGTTTGCTGGTTTTAATAGAATTCAAGATACCTACAAACAGACACATTATCTTCCCTCAGGCTAAGAACACTCAGAGAAAACAATACACACACACACACACACACACACACACACACACACACACACACACACACACACACACACACACCACACACACACACACACACACACACACACACACACACACACACACACACACACACACACACACACACACACACACACACACACACACACACACACACACACACACACACACACACACACACACACACACACTCAGAGTGCGAGTGCCACCGTGTGTCAGTCATGTTGTACTGATGAACTCATTAAGTGTTTAAATGACTTATAAGTGACTGATCAATCTGCCTGACAGACTATCTGTTCATCTGACCGGATAATCATCTGTGTGTGTGTGTGTGTGTGTGTGTGTGTGTGTGTGTGTGTGTGTGTGTGTCTGTGTCTGATCATCTTACTATATAATGATCCTGTTTATCTCTACCTGCTCTGATCCACTGTCACACACACCTTCAGTGGTAATATCTTCACTTCCTCCACAGTGTTAATGTGTGGAAACATCCTCTCAGTGAAATTGTGTGTGAAGGTGTGTATGAGTGTGTTAGTGTCAGGATCAGAGAACGACAACGCTCCTCTGTTCCAGTCCAGATCCACTCTGACCCTCTGGAGGTTCTTCTTCAGGCTGAGAGGAGTGGGTGGTTCTGATGGTGACCATGCTGAGTATTTACCTTTATAGAAACATATCATCCATAATCCAGACAGTATGATTCCCTTCCTCGGGACAGACTCTGCTGACACACCCAGTAACCAGTGTGTACTGCCTGTAACCTGGACATCCCAGCTGTGAGTCCCAGAGTTAAAGCCCTCAGAGCCCAGGACAGAGAGGTGTTTCTCAAACCTCTCTGGATTATCAGGAAGTTTCTGTCTCTCTCCTCCTCTCACACTGGTCAGATCTTCAGACAGGATGAGGTCTGGATGAGCAGTGTTTGGGTCCAGGATGAGAGGAGAGTAGGACACCATGTCCTTCATCTTGCTCCAGATGTTGAAGCTGAGGTTGCCCAGGTGTTTGGCCTGGTCCATCAGAGCTCCTGAGGGCAACTGTGGAGCCTCCAGCAGGGGGCGCTGCAGCCTCTCCACTGCAGCCTTGTAGTTGTGCAGGAAGGAGACGTCTTCAGCTCTCAGCTCCTCCTCTGTGGCTCTGACCGTGTGTGAAAGAGCTGCTATCTCTCTGTTCACAGCCTCCATCTTCTCCTCCATCATCCTCCTCTTCTGCTCCTCTTCCTCCCTCAGTGCAGCCATCCTGGCCTCCTCTTCCTCTTCTAGAAACTGGTGAAGCTTCTTGAACTGCTCCTTAATCTGCGTCTCTGTGTGTTGAGCCTGGACCTTCATGTGTCCTGCTGTTAGATCAAACTTCACTTTAACTTCTTCAAAGAGCTTCAGTTTCTTCTTTAAGGGCTGCAGAGCTTTCTGGAGCTCCTTCTTGAGATCCTGAGCAGCTTCATCCATGGGTCTGAATCTGTGGTTGGTGTGTGTTCTTGAGTCTCTGCAGACGACACACACTGGCTGCTGATGGTCCAGACAGAAGAGTCTGAGTCTCTCAGAGTGCAGACTGCAGAGAGCCTCTGAAGGTCTCTGACCTCTCTCCAGTAAGAAGGTCTCACACAGGTTCTTTAAAGCCAGGTTACAGGGGGGTTCAACTTTTGAAGATCTTCTCTTACAGACTGGACACTCCTTTGCTTCTTTCCCCGTCCACCAGGTCTGCAGACAGGCTTTACAGAAGCTGTGGCTACAGGAGAGAACAACAGGATCTCTAAAGACGTCCTGACAGACCGGACAGCAGAGATCTTCCTCTAACCTGGAAGCCATGTTGTCTCTGAGTGAAGCTGAAACACAGCAGACAGGAAGTACAGTCAGTCACGGCTCCCCTCCCCCTCCTCTACTGACTGAAATTCACTGTGAGTGTTGTTTGGAGACTCACCTTCAGCGTGGGGAGGGTCCGCAGGTTGAAGCAGCAGTGTTGCAGTTTCCACTTTTCTCTCCTGTAGCTGAACTCAGAGGAAGTTGTTAGTTTGGTCTGAAGGTGAATGTGATCGTCTGTTTTTCAGTCCGTCTGTCTCTCTGCAGTGAGGAAGAGGAACAAACTGTTTCCTGGTTTGTCTCAGGTGAGTCAGTGAGGGAGGAGCTCTGTCACGCCTCCTCTGCTGAACTCTGTCTCCTCTCATGTGACTCAGGGTGTGTCTCATCATTGCTGCATTGAAGTTGTAGAGGAGGAGTCAAACTATAAACTCATGTTTCATTGGAGAGGGAAACAAGTCCGTCTCTTGGTGCGTACAGAGATTGGATGGCCCTGAGAAGAGACCCAGAAGTGTAATGTAACTAAGTACATGTACTCAAGTACGGTACTTAAGTACAATGTTGAGGTACTTGTACTTTACTTGAGTATTTCCATTGGATGCTACTGTGTACTTCTACTCCTCTACAGTTCAGAGGTACATGGTTTCCTCCACTACATGTATTTAACACCTTTAGTTACTTCACAGATGTGGATGAATGATGTGAAATATAATAAACTCTTAAATCAGAGTTTAGTTCCACCTGGAGTAAATTCATAATGAATTACTTTACTAATACAAACTGTGGGGGAAACTTCTGAAGCAAGTGGAGTCAGGACTCAGAGAGACACGAGGAGAGCTGGAGCTTTGATGGCAAACACTGACGGTTTATTCGGAGCTTCGGCCGGAGAATTCACAAGACATGTCACGGGCCACGAGTTGACCACCCGGTTGAGATGCCACAATCAATTCTGAAGAGCCCTCCTGTAGCTCCAGGTTTGAACTAGTTCAGAGAGAATAATCAACATTCTTCAATAGAGAGACTAAACAGCTGAGGACACTGAATCACAGTTGTTGTCGCTTATGGCTCGGGGTCATCTACACCCCGAGAAGGATGTGTTCCAGGTGTCCCACAACAATAACATCTCTGACCGAGAGCTGCCCGGTCACAAACTGGCAACAACAACAACAACAACAACAACTTGCTAGGGCAGCCCCTCCTTAAGGGAGATAACGGCTGCTCAAGGCTGGTCAGCTGCGTCAGAGGGCAAAGGGTAAACATGTAGGGCGAAATTATTCCCTTACACTAAGGAATATAAATGAAGCTTTGTTAAATAAAGGGTACATTTTATTTTTGATATTGTCTGTTAATATTTGTGTTGTTTTATCAGAAATATGACTTCAATCTCCGACAAAACAACAAAAATGGATAGATGATAATAATCAGATAGAATGCAAAATAATAAATACGAGACTCTCAGAAAGTAATGTTTTTGGGGGGATTATAACGAGTTTCCAGAGGTTTTTGGATGTGAGTTTTAATAGCCTTCAAGGAGTCGTAGGATGTTTTGAAATGATTGAGTTTCCATGAGTTTTGAGATTACAATTTGGTGACTATAAATGAGTTTCTGTGAGATATCTGGGAGTTTCTTGGGAGGTGTGTGTGTGTGTGTGTGTGTGTGTGTGTGTGTGTGTTGTAGAGTTATATTTGTATTTATTCATGTTAGCAAACTATGGATAAGCTTAAAATGGGAATAATTTGGGTAAAACTGTGAGCTGCATTTGGGGCCTGTTGACATGTGTTTTTGAGGACAAAGGAAGATGGGGGAAGGTGAGAGCATGTCCTGATTTGCATTCAACTTAGAACGAGCTACAGTGGTTGTGATGTTAAGAGAGGTCCCTTGGGTTTCTCTGGTGGTTATCAACAGTAGCAGTTAAGTGAATACTGTTCAAACAATACCTGTGTTTGTGTTTTATATTGATTTCTCTGTTTTATCCTTTCATAAATGTAAGGACTACAAATGGCTATAAACATTCTGGGCTGGTTGGAGTAAACAGGGTTTTATGGCTCTGTGGGGGAGGTGTAGGTATGCAGGCCTTGAGACCTTTTGTTGGAAAGTGAGCCTGTTTGGTTTCCTGCTGCGTTTCCTGCTGCGTTGCGTCTCCCAATGAGATGACCTGAAAAGATGACCAGCTGACCTAACACCAAACCCCTCCTTCTTACTCTGGTATATATCCGGTGGATCCCTGGCGTTCGGCCTCTTCTTCACATGCTGCCCTCGGGTGAAAGTAGCTCTGCAGTATGCGGACTAGAGCAGGAGTAAGCCGGCATTACTCCTTAAGCATTGCAATATAACTGTAATATATCATGTTGTATTGTAATGATTGTATTGCATTGTCATATTGCCATTAAAGTAGATTATTGTTAACGGTTACTTTGTAGATATGGATTCCTTCCTGTATTATAACCAGCTTCATAGGAACGCGCGGAGATTTGAAAAGCGGACCAGTTATCCCTCCAAATCTCCAACAAAATGGTGACCCGACGTCTATAACGAAGCTGAGGAAGAATTCAGACGCTTTCAAACATCTCAGACAATCAGCAGGACTCTGCAACTTTGCAAATAAGGTAAGCAGACGATGAAAGTCGCCTGTCTGTAATTGGATACGCTAAAACTTTAGGATTGTCTGTAGGCGTTTCACAGTGTTTTTATAGTTTAAATGGAATATACAATGCATATTTTACTATGTTAGGAAAGTTATATACAAAACGTAAACGTTGATCGACAGGTAGACGAAAGTCCTGCGTGACGTAAAATAGAGCAGTTTGGCGTGGATCTGCAGGTGTTTATTCCTGAGTGGCGTAGAAATGGTGCAGTTTGTGTGAATGCGAGGTTTGAATCCTGCACGGCAAAACCTGAAAACTCGATATATCAGATCGAGTCGCCGTTTAAAACTGGGGTTTAAATAACAGACCAATGCTAAAAGCTTAAAGCCAGAGGTCTGTTATATATTAAACCAAGGTAGAGCGTTTCCCTTTGTCTGGAAACTTCTGCTGCTGCCATCTAGTGGCTGAAAGGGGGTATCACACCCTTGAAACTTCTGCTGCTGCCATCTAGTGGCTGAAAGGGGGTATCACACCCTTGAAACTTATGCGAGCTTAGAGTTTAATCATTACATTGCTGGCCGGTATTGTTTGGTAAACTGGTACAAAACAATAAGGGATTGAACATTTTTTACAACGACAGCACCAGGAGATGAGTAAACTCAAGAATCTGTAGAGTGTAAATACATTGTGCAAAACACATTTTACACTCGAACTGTTTGCAAATGTAGACAATATAAATAAATGTTCAGAAAGAAGACAGAGGCCTACACTTGATTCAAATTTCATTGCTGTGATCCGATTGGTGTGCTCTGCAGGTTTACTATTGTTCGAAGTAACAGTGGGATTTAAAATGAGAGAAGATATGGAGATGTTCTTTCATAGTGTGTGGAATATGTGATGCTGGAAACATGTAAGTATTTCAGAGTTGTGTTGGGTAAATATGTAACAATGGATGAAACAATTTTTGTAGTTAGTTTTTGTAATATCATAAGTAGACATTAATTATGTTGTTTAGATGGCATTTAACAACTAAGACAGATAGTATGATTAGAAAGAGACAGAGTGGAAAGGGTTGGATTTATTTAACATCAATGTGCTAGACTTCTTATAGGTAATGTGTACCGGGACTTGGACTCCCCCTCTGAGTTAGAAAGGCTTTGATCCCGACCCTCCAAGCAGACAACGAGACCTAACCCAACAGGAGACTCCTCCTTCTCCATCGTACAGACAGAGAACCAGAGCTGAACCAACAACAACAACAAGACTACATCAATACTGCAGCCAGAACTATCTCCACCTGTGGCATCCAGAACCAAACCAGCATGCTGACATACAGAGAGATACTCTCATCGGTCCCTCAAACAGGACATGAAGTTCCAAACTGCGCCGCGAGATTTGGCACAATAGACATGAGAGCAGAATCCGCCCTCCATAAAAACAGCAGAGAGACTGTAAAGGAGGAGTGCAACAACAGTGGCATGATGGGGCTGCAGATGTGACTGGGCCAATGGCTGCCTACAAAAGTTACAGCGGATGGATTCAACAGCTGATGGACTGAAGAGAAGACAGAATCAGAGGAGTTGGCATGGTCGATTAGAAGTGAGGAGGCCGGGGTCACGGCTTGAGAAAACCAGGGGAGGAGGAAAGGAGAACGGGAATGAGTGAGTTACACATAAACACACTTATTCACAAAACGCACATTTAAATAACTTGAATTAACTTCATAAATACGTAAAGACAGAAAGATGTATTAATCATTTGGTAAATTAAAAATAGCAGTAAAGAGGAAACTATTAAAGTAAAATGATAATCATCCTAAAACACACTGACAGAGTAGAACCATATTCTTCAATATTTTCATCATGTTAACAATTCATTCTTTAAGACATTTTTATTCACGTGTGAATAAAGTAGTGATCTCATTGGTTACAATATTGATCACCATTAAAAGGATAGTTTTAGGAACCACTCTATAGGACAAATCTTTGTTTGTATTAATGGCTAGTGCCAAGCCACATATTAAATTCCAATCTAAAGTGTTGATTTCACCATTGTGGCATAGTTATTACCAGACTTCGGTTTTAAATCCTTGATAAAGGAGGGAGTAATTGTTGCATGTTCGGACACCCAAGGTTCCACACACTGCTAAAGAGTTTAACATCGTTTTTTAAGTAGACCAGAATTATAATGAGCTATGAAATGCAGAGCGACACAGATCCTAGTAATGTTTTGACTCAAGATAATAGTTATTGTACACAAGTTTCTGAAATAGCTCATTAGACATTTTAATTAGTAGTGGTACTCGAAGGAAGTGAGTTTTGTACCAAGTTTCAGGAAAAGTGGGAGGCGGAAGTCCCAATGACAAGTGAGAATCATCTTGAAAATTATAGTTGAAATCGTGACATATTTTTGTAGACAAAGGATACTGGCCTATGCTGAAATGTCAAAGTCTCTGCAGAGCACGACACATGGCCAAAAAAGACGGAGACCAACTGACCTTTGACCCTGACCGACAGTGTAACTTGACAAGGCACTGTGGATGACTGACTCTGGGGTGAACCTGACCAAACTTGACATGACAACCAGACAGTGTGAGTGTGAATGAATGCCGGCATGTGATCAGTGTAACTGCATGATTCTAAAACAATAACTAACCAAGCATGTTTTTGGACTAACATATTATTTTGGAGCTCCAAGGGAAACGAGAGGTTTCCTAAAAATTCCACAAAAAGGGGAAACCGCACATGTGATATTTTCCTCTCACATGAGTTGGCGGTTTGCAAATGTAAAACTACAATCTGAAGATTCTGTTTCTTTTAGGCCTGAAGGACGGAGAGGAACACTTCTTTTCACTGAAGTGTTCACTGTGGAAATAATGATAATAATGTTCGTTATGTTCCTAACCAATTACCTGACAGTTTTTGTTCCCCTCCCATTACAGGCTTTTGTTA